ATATATATATATAATATATATATATATATATATATATATATATATATATATATATATATATATATATATATATATATATATACTATAATATATATATATATATATATATATATATATATATATATATATATATATATATATATATATATATATATATATATATATATATATATATATATATATATATATATATATATATATATATATATATATATATATATAATATATATATATATATATATTATATATATATATGAAGCATTTTACATTTTTCTCAAAAAGTGCTAACTTCATGATACTGTAAATAAATACTTTGTGGAATTAATTAAAATGTTCCATTTAAAAATGACAGTGGTCACGTAGTTTAAGAAATTTATAATATATCTATTGAAAGGTTAATAGCGAGATCAGTTCAAAACGAAACTTGTTTCGTAAAGCAACATAATTTTTTGAAAATAGTTAGTCTGCTAATAGATTAGATAGATAGAGCCAGTAAGTCTGCTTACAAAATAAATATAGAGATTTTTTTTGAGAAAAAAAAAGTTTCTAGCTTTTGTTTTGTAGAAACTGATGAACATTTTTTATGTTTTTTTGAAGCTGCGTGTTGAACAATATCACATTTGCCTTTATTAACTATAGAAACTGTTGTGTTACAAATAGTGCAGAAAAATTTATGTTGATCGCTTTTCACTCGTTTGGCGAATGTATAAGTTTCTTCAAATATATCTAAAAATTTGCACTTTCCTCGAGACATTTTTTAAACTTAACTTGTCACATTGCATCCGCAAATTTAAATTAGTGTCGTCGTACAAGCTTAGAAAAAAATATTGCTTAGATCTGCGCAAAATCATTTATTATAGGCTGTAGAGTACCGAAAGTCTTTATATAAAGCTCTAGATTTGTTTTACACGTGACCTTTAGCAACCAATAAACGCACTATTAGAAAGTTAAGACTTTCGGTACTCTATCCACGGCGTTTTTTATAGTTCATTTCAAAGAAATAAATTTTTTAAATCAGTAGTTTTAAAAAAAAGAGCATACTTTGTGATTTTTAAAAAAAGAGAGAGTATAAAAAATTTTGTTTCAAATAGAGTATAATACTCTAAAAAAGAGTACGTCTGGTCACCCTATATATATATATATATATATATATATATATATATATATATATATATATATATAATATATATATATATATATATATATATATATATATATATATATATATATATATATATATATATATATATATATATATATATATATATATATATATAATATATATATTTATATTTATATAATATATATATACTTATATATATATATATATAATATATATACTATATATATATATATATATATATATATATATATATATATATATATATATATGATTTTTTTTTGTTGTAATTTTAGGTGCCTCTTGAACTCAAAATGGTCTTATTACAAATTACTTTAGAATGGCACTTTAAAAGAAGTTTATGCCTCATCCGTATTGATTTTAAAAAATTTGGCCAGAGGTAGCAATGAATCACGGACCTCTTGCTTCTGAGACAAATGCATTAACCACTGCCCCCCCTATGGCTTCTATTGTGCTACGGCTGCTCAAGGATAAGACGCTCGTGAGCGTTGGCTGGTATAAAGCATGTAACGCTCGTGACGTTTTTAAAGTAAAAGAGATTTTTCAAAGACGTTTATTTTACGCATCGTTTGACAAAGGATAAGATGCTCGTGACGTGACTTAAAAAAAGACATCGGAATCTTGTGAAGAGTTTGTTGTTTAGAGGATAAGATGCTAGTGGTACTAAGAAATAAAAAACCCTCTTTGGCAACGAGTGATTTTAATTGATAAAGATATTTGTTTTTTTTAAATAAGAACAAATAAAATGGTTTTATGCAATAAATTGTAATATTTCTACTAAAATAGGTTATTTGCGAGAAAAACGCCCTACCTAAAAGCAATTGATTTACCTTAACAACTAAAACCCTCGAGTAGAATTAACATTACAGCATTTAATCTTGAATTCCCAAAATTTGTCAAAGATACTTTTTAGGGTTTAAAACAAGTTTACGCAGTTTGTATAAGATGGAGTAAAGTTTGTTTGACGTCCAGTAAATACATAATATGATCCCAAATTGTCTAGGTAGTGTTCCCATCTGCTCATTAGTAAATCGGATCTATTGATTAAGAAATATACGCCAACAAAATATGTTTATACCTTATTGTATATAAGTTTTTATTTTATTGACTCAATAAAAACCTTCCTTAAAAATTTTTATAAGAAATTTATATTATCTTATGCACCTCAAAAATAATTAAAAAAACCTCATTAGCATATAATTACATTATAACTGTACAAAAATATATACAATAGGTATCAATTAAAATGCTAATTAAATTACAACTTTCATGAATATACTCTAAAAATAAATTACAATATGTTTGTCATCAAAGGATATTCTAGCATTTTCGTAATAAGACATGTACAAGAAAAAATCTGCGCGGACTTTTTAAAGAATATTTATTCAAATATTGTATTTTGATATAGAATGTTATATATATTGTAGAAGTACATAAATTAACATTCTTAAATTAAACTTAAGAAAATTAGGAAAGTTTTGTACTTGAGTGCGCACGCACTTTAGTCCGTTTGTTCTAAGTGGATTAAAGCTACCAAGAAAGTCCAGCCAAAAACTGTGCAAAAGCTGATGTTGAGAGTACTCTGTTACTAAGTTTTCAATTGCTAACAGAGATCTAAAACTATGAAACACGCTAATGAATAATGAGTTAAAAACTATTTCTTCTTTTAAATATATTAAAAATATTTTAAATAATTTAATTATATTAAAAAATAATTTAAATATATTAAAAAGCAAACGCTTTTAATAAATGACAACAAATTAAAATTTTTCATAATCCTTTGACTAGGAGAAAGAACGGTTGCCTATTTATTTTATTTCTTTATAAATATGGTTTAAATATATATTCTCTATATACTGTTAGTCGATATGTACATTATGACGTTTTTTTTTTTGTTTTTTATTTTATATAATAAACTTAAATAAAAAACATAAATAAAAGACACATTAAGTTTCTAAAAATGTTTTTAAAAATGTTGTTTCTTGTTTTATTTGTTATTCGTGTATTATCTGTTATTTTATAATCTAAATTCAAAAGGTTTTTAAATCTAAAATCAGTTAGGAAAAGCGAATTTAATTAATAAAATGTTCGTATACTTTTGGATATATTGCACCCTAACACAGCGTAAAATGTATTTTATTTTATTTTTACTTAACGTTACATTTTATTTAACGTTACTTTATTTTAACGCAACGTTTTATTTAACGTTTATTTAAAGAGTTACTTTACTTTGTATTTTGAATATTTACAGTTTTATTTAAAGGGCTTGGTGATTAAGGGGAAGACTAAACTAGTCTTCCCCTTGCCCCAACAATGTATTATATATTGTATTGCACAAACTTGTAAATTTTTTTCATCGGCGAAATACAAAATAATAGTAATATTAATGTAGCAGCTTTGAACAAAGAATGTCAACATTTTCTTCCCTTTCTTCACGACGAAGAATTTTTTTCTTTTTATAAGAGTTATAAAAATATGCCCAGCCGGCAACTCTATGTTGCTTTAACGTTAAAATTTGGTTGAAGCGTTGTTTCAACGTTTTTTAACATTGTGAAAACGTTAAAACATATATCTTATAATTATAAGATATCACACAAACTGAATGTTTCTCTGAATACAAAAAAAATGTATATATAAAACGTATATCAATAATTAACAAAGTATCCTAATAAGTAAGTTTTAAGATTTAAGAAATCATTTTAAATTTCTTCTTCTTCTTTTTTTAACAAAAAGTAATTGCTTCTACAAATAAAATAACTTTTATTAGTAGAGGTATTCTTAATGAAGTTAAAAGTAAAAGAAAATTTTTGATATAATAACAAAAAAATTAATTATTCAAGGTAATGAGATAAATAGTATTAATTTTTTTAATAATATTAATTAAATAATAACAACACTAAAACAAGAAAAACTACCGAAATATATGAAACTTAAACACAAATAAATATATATATATATATATATATATATATATATATATATATATATATATATATATATATATATATATATATATATATATATATATATATATATATATATATATATATATATATATATATATATATATATATATATATATATATATATATATATATATATATATATATATATATATATATATATATATATATATATATATATATATATATATATATATATATATATATATATATATATATAGCCAAGTATATTAATATACTTGGCTATAGTATTTTTGATATTTATTATATAATTTTGTTCAGTATTTTGTATTACTTTATTTTTAATATATATGTTTTAGCAATCTGGAAATAATGAAATTCTATCCCTACGCTCACAGTTTTCTAAACCTTATATTCACATTTTTTTTTATAAATTTTTTATAAATTTATTTTTATAAATCTAAATTATAAGCTAAGAAGAAGATTTTTGTTTTAGTTATTTCATTTCCATTGAAAACATCTGAAAATTTTGAATTCACATCAACTGAGAAAAAAGTGATAATAATGATGTTGATTTTCTCAGAAAAAGAAAACATAAACAAAGAGAACATCGAGATTATTTTCCATGTAAGCAATGATTTTATATGCTTGAATTACGATTTAGTGAAAATTTTATTTTGTGTTTAAAAACATAGGTCATTATTTCATAAATTTATTAACTGAAGCATTATTTTATTGAAAAAGTATATATATATTGTGATTAAACATGTTTCATTGGAAAAATTATTTAATAATAAAACTTGGTTCAGAAATTTTTTAATTTGAGTTTTTTTTATAATGAAAATTGTGAGAGAAGTTTGTGGGCTGTTTTTAATTTTGAGTTTTTAGTTCAGATTATTAATAAAATATATAAAAAATTCAGAATACAATTAAGGATAAGAAAAAAGGAAACAAAGAACCAAAATTAGATAAAGTTGATAAGATCCATATGGCTAAAGGCAGTATACTATTATTTATTCCTAAGTTATTTTTTAAATTTATTAAGTTTGTAGAAATACTCAATAAAAGTTGTTTGGTGAAATATTTTAATTTATAAAGTTTCAAAAGAGAGTGTTATATTTATTTACTGATATATAGTGAGTTTTATTAAGTATTTTATTAATAAGTTGTATCCTTTAGTTAGAGAAGATTTTTAAAATTTATGTCTACAGCTTTATGTCAAAACTTATAACTATATATATTAGAACAATCGCCTCTTATTTGCTAGTATAATTTCAATGGTTTTAAGAGAAATTAATGATTTTTTTTTTTTTGTTAAATATCCATAGTTTCATTTTTATTAATATGATTATAATACATTGCGGACGAGGTTAGGCAACTTTTTGCAAGCAGATGTCACTTCTGGTGTTAATTTGTAATTCAGATTAGGACTGATTTTTTTTTGTAATACTACCAGAAAATTACCATAAAAGGTTTGCATGTTTCTCCTACAATAAAATTGAGAGTTGTATATCCAAGCTTTCCTTCTCCAAGGAAAGTCTCAAGCTAAAAAACCTCTTCTTATCTTATATAGGATCAATTTAATGTCATGACCAGGATAATATCAAAACGGTAACATTTTTGTATTGCTTTTTATTATTATTATTTAAAGTATATCTATTAGATAATAAGTTTAATAATAAAAGAAAAATATTGCTTTTTGTTTGTTTATTTGTTCATTTTATTTTATTTTTTTTAAACTTGTCAGTTAATTTTTATAGTGGGTAAATCAGTGTATTTCCTTGCTATAAAATGCTTTTATTCATAAGATATAAAAAACTTTTTCATTTTTTATTTATTCTAAAATTTATCTTTGCGTTTCGTTTTTTTAAAATTAATTTATTCAAAGCTTCATGTATTAAATACGATGGAGCGACTGAAATTTTAATTGATGGAATTTTGTCTGATTTTTTAAAATATGCTTCATTTTTAGGTTACGAAAAAAAAAAATAGATTGACTGTTATAAATATTTACATAACATTCAATAATGAAATCTTTTTTCGTAGTCTACTAATATTTTGTTTTCAGCGTTTATTCAACAATAACAAAAAAAAACTCAAATATAAAAAAAGCCTAGGATTATGTTGATGTTTTGAGTAACATAAGAAAAGCAAAAAAAGTAACTGATATTGTTTTTAATAAAAACAAAAATACTATTAATGTTAAAAATTGGTATTAATATTATTTAAGATATTTTTTGGTTTTAAAAATTGTTTGAACGATATTTTATTGTTTATAGAAATGTTTTCTTGTTTAATTTTTGTTGCTTTTATATTATCAATCAAACATACATTTCATTGTGTGATATTTTATAATATACTTTTATTATACTTTTTGATCTTATATTAATAATGAATATTAGCTATTTTTTGTTTAATATTTTGTATTACTCCTATGTTGATATTAAAGTTCTAGCAACCTAAGATTCTTTCATTGTTTTCATTTGATGTTCTGAGTTATTTCAACATAAAGTATACAGAACTCTGAATAATCGAAAAATAAGTTTATTGTTAAAAATAAATTTAAAATATAATAAATTTATAAAATGAAGAAAATCTTATCTTGGCTAACATTGTCTACTAATATCATTATTTAACAAGTATCGTGGTTATAAAATGTTCTGACTTTTCTTGTTTAAGTAGGCCGGTTACACACTGCATTACATAATGGTTTCTTCATTTTATTATTAGCTCATAAAATATTTTCAAAATCAAATATGTGGAAAAAACTGTTTAAATTAAGACTTATTTGAACAAAAAAGTGTAAAACTGTTTATTGGCCTCCAGGTACCAAAGCAATGACTGCACTAAATTGTCTTGAATGGGCTTCAGTTTCCACAAGAATTGACTAAAGTTTCCACAAGAATTGGCTTTAGTTTCCACAAATAAAAACTAAATTTTCTTCAGGTATTACCTTTTTTTAATACAATAATTATTTTCAAATAATGTGGTAAAAAAAATTATTTCGTTGATACAAAATATATTACTATTAATATGATTTCAATTTTAATATATAAATTTCAATTTTATATATAATATGTTCAAGAACACTAATTTACTTGGCGTTGTGAAAGGTATACCTTTATAAGTTGTAACACTTTTCCATTCATTATAATTTTTTTCAAATCTTACCTTTTTGATTTTTTATTTATTTTTTTATTTTTTATTAACAGCTTATTTTATTGTATTCAATCGATTAATAAAAACCTCTGATAATAGAATAATGTTTGAAATTCTAAGAAACGCTTTATTTCAAAAATGTTGTGAAAAAGAGAAGAAATATGTGTAGATTTTATTCATTTATGTGTAAATATAGGTAATATTTAAATATATTTTTAAATAAAACAAGTTTCATTTCTTTCTTTAATCATTTTAAAGTGTAAATTTCGTTAGCTATTTTAAATAAACTAAACTGAAAAAATTATAAATATTCTAAGTATAGACTATGAGTATATTAAATATCCATAACATACATGGATGGTGCAATAGATATGTACAACAACACTACTGGACATGCATAATACGTTTTGATAGTGCAAATATCCAAATACGTTATGATAGTGATCACAGTTCAATCAACGTTTGAATCTAACGTTTATTTAGAATTGATATTAAAAGATGAAATAAACTTTCACTCTAAACGTTGAATCAACGTATATTTAAAGTTAGAGCAACATTATTTCAACGTTGTTTGCCGGCTGGGTTTCAAATATATATATTGTATATATATATATATATATATATATATATATATATATATATATATATATATATATATATATATATATATATATATATATATATATATATATATATATATATATATATAGCAAGATTATTTTTCTTAAAAAGACTAACCTGGACAGACAGTATCGGAATCACAAAAGTCAGTGTAGGTATTGATACCTATACAATGTAGACCATAAAACGATGGATGTGGACTGTTGCAACTTCTATATATCTTTTTGACTCCACCGCCACATGTTTTTGAACATTGAGTTTCCTCCCACATTCCCCACATTCCATCAACTAAATTTATAAAACATTTCATATTTAAAAAGTTTTAAAACAATTATCTAATAAAAATTGGTCTTTTTAAATGTTGGATTAATAAACAAAAAGGGCTGGGTTCCGGAAGCATTTGTAAGTTAATAAAAAATGTTTATTTAAATGACTGTAAATAATTTTTCTTATTTTATACTGAAACTTTTGCAATTCAAACAGAAAAATGTTTAATTCTAAATATATTATTTTCTTCTTTAGTAGGAAAAACAGAGAAGAAAAGTGTAACTTTTATGTAAAGCTAGAATAAATTTTTCCTGACCACATCATAATATTAAACACTTTAAAAGTTTTGATTAAGAATTTAGAAAGAACAAAACATAATCAATATAGTGTTGTTAAAGTAAACCATAAAAAAAAATACTCAATACAGAAAAGATTCAGGCATGAAAATTAATCAGCACCTGAACAGTTAATTGGATTGCAGTTTTCTACTTGTGATAAATATGCTGTTTCCTTTATTAATGAATATCTTCTTCTAATACCCAGTCCACACGACACAGAGCACTCACTCCATATTGCCCATTTTTCTAAATAATTAATTAAGCAAATAACTGTATGTGTGTTCATGTGTGTGTAGAAAATATATGTATGTGTATTTGTATAATGTTTCGAAATATTTATGTATTTAGTTATATCTAATTATTCAAATAAAATAAATAGATCTTAAATTTTTAAATCATATATATGTATACATTTATTCAAAGATTGAATAAAAATATGTATTTATATAAATATATACAGGGTACTGATGCAACCTATTAAGCGTTTTTAGGTATAGTCAATACTTTCTCCGTTTTGTTTAATTTAATTACTTGTGATGGATGTTTAGTAAATCTTTTTATGTGATATAAAAAACCTTTTTGCATTTATTACAAAATCAGTCATTAATTTTTAGACTCCAACAATATCTTTTTTATCCTTATTCTTATTAAAACTTCTTCTAAAACTTTTTTTTAACTGCAGAAGTTCTTAGTCAAGAATCTACTTTTAGAAAAACAAATAAAGATGGTTTGATGAAAAAAACTTAATTCTTAATTGAATGAAAAATTTAGTTTTGAACTTTTAAAATATAGTAACAACAGGCTCTTCATATGCTTTAGGATTATGATAAATAAAGATGAATAATCGGGAAAGACGTTAATAATTACGGAAACAATTCCAAAGAGTCTTTCATAATTTTGTTTACCTGAAAACAAAGTTTTAGATAAACATAAAGGAACAATGAAAATTGGTCTACATTGACAAGTGATTTCTTGTTTATAATATAACTGTTTATCGAATAAAAATATCTAATAAACACCACCAGTAAACTCATTTAGCCAATTGCGAAATTACGTTTAATATTTATTTGTTTTTTTCCGTAAAGAAAGTGTTCTAACGCTTTCTTAAACTATTATTTTTGAATAAGAATTTTACGTTTATCAACAAAAAAATAAGATTAAAAGTTTGCACCAATTTATTTTAAAAGATGTATAAACTGAATAGCGTCAATAATGCGGTCATTTAGCCATTTTTTAGATTCCAAAAATTCTTTATCTTCTTATTTTAGATTTAGTTTATGTATCCACCATAGAGCTATTGAAGGTGGATCTTCTGAATATGTAAATTTTATTTAAGTAATTGCCTTCTTCAAATGAACATCTTTAAACGAAACATTAGTCGTTAGTGAAGTAATTAATGTAGGTGAATAACAATTTTTTAAGTTGCTAGCAATAACAACTTGTTTAATAACTTTTTCTAAAAGTTGAAGTCTGTAAACACGTTTTCCTAACTCGTTTTTGATTTTGAAATAGCTCGTAAAACGTGCAGCAAATTTGTTGCTAATTTGTGGAATGGCGAAAACTTTACAGGTGCTTGAAAATTAATACAATAACCAAAAACAATTGGATCAATAAATAAGTTCCAAACTTTACTTTTTTTGTTTTTTAGCAAATGACTGCAAATGACTGACCAAGGTTTGATTAAACTACTCCGTCAGTCTAGAAATACAATAACTTATAAATTAGTTTCATAAAAAATTAGCATAAAGAAAAAATATATTTAATATGATATGGTGTGCATATGTTGTTATAAGCAAATACCGTTTAAAAATAAAATATATCAGATTTTAATAACTGTGTAAAAATATTTAGCCATCTTTAAAAAAGATTATACTTTTTTTCTTTTCAATATATATTTAAAGAAACGTGGTTAAAAGGTTATGTTGAGTAAATTTATTTAAAATTTAATATAGTTAAAGTATTAAGTTATGAAAAACAATGTATATACCCATTATTCTAAAAAAAGGTATGCAGATGTCATAGCAACTGTTAATTTTTTTTTTCACACAAATTGTTGACAAGCTGGTAGTATTAAGTTGGTCTTGAAAAATTACGTCAGAAACACCAAATCTGAATACAAGTTTCATGAAAAAAGCATTTTATAAAGTAAGTGCTCAATGTTCTAAAAAGAATAGACCAATAAATTAGTAGATATTATAGATTGTAGATAGATAGTAGTATATATCATATCTATAAATATTTTGGAATGCTTAAGATGAATATAGTGCTACTGTTATTGTATACATATCAATAAATCATTAACAGATTCAAAAACACACACATTTTGAAAGCATCCAGTTGGTATACATTTTATGCAAATCGTTTATAATGTTATTGCATATTAATTTGTTTAGCCGATAGGGGTTATTTTATTTCGAGGGGTTAGTATATTTTGAAATTTTGAATTTTCAAAGTTAACGCAAAAAGTTAACCTGGTATTAACTCCCGGTAAACTTTTTACGCTTCCAAAGTTTATTTATTATGGACGTTAATTTGTTTCAACGCACCGGCGTAAAAACTCTACCCTACAGAAAAAAAATACCCTAAAGACACAAAAAAAATGTGCAAAGAAATAACAAATATATATATAAAAAAATTAAAATATAAAAAGTTAACGAACATGTTTGCAACATCTTTTAGTACAAACTCAGTTTTTAATATAAGTTTGGCTGATGTTGCAAAAACAGAAATAAATACTAATCTCCTTCCGATTTGCGATGCTGCAGATACGGTATTATTACTATCACCTAATGAGGCAGAGGCACATGGTTCTAAGTTTAAACAGGGGAAGTTTCAATAAAAATGCTGTTGATTCAACTTTTTACTATAACTATGACTTTCAATGTAATTTAAATTGTAATCAATGTGAGCTAAGTAAAGAAACTTAAAATAACTATAATTATTTTATGAAATTGCCTGTAGATTTTTTTAAATCATCTTTTAAATTTCCTTCGAAGCAATACGCTCTCGATATAAACTTTAAAATAATTTCTAGAACGTTTATTTCAGAAACAGTAAACCTTGCCACTACCTGACCTTTAAAGAAAACCCACAACTTTTTTTTTTTTTAGTCTGTCGTTCAGCAAAGACTCAGATATATCAAACTTCATTAGTGGATATATCATTACGTTCATTAGAGGATATAACTTTCCGAGCATATTTACCAAATAATATCAGAACATGAAAGCAGTGCACTTCTGAAAAAGTCATATGTTTTAAAAAATCAACGCCAAAGATATTATTAGCATTTATACGCGCCGACATTCTATATGGGTTAAAATAAACTGTTTGATTGTAGAAAGAACTATAGAAACTATAGAAACAAGAGTTTCAGAGGTGCAAAAGATTCTGGTTAAACATTGTTTGATGACAGTGTAAGTCGTAGGAATCATTTAGAGATTTTTTTAATAATTGGAAAATTTGATTTGTTGTTGGATTCACATATCGAATACCTATTGTAAAGCAAATCCCGGCATAATTCAGTTTGGCAACAAAAGACATTTCAGTCAAAAGCAAATGTTAATAAAATCATTTATGCAAAAACAACATCTTTAACAAGTATGCTGGTGGAATAGATTAGACAAGCTAATATGTTTCTTTTTCAAATTGATACCAAACAGGATAATTATGTATAAGATCAGTGTTTTTCTGTTATCCGATATGTAACAAAAGCTCTCTATGAATGTGTAATATTTATAATCAATTGCACATAAACAGCTGAAAAAGGAAAGTGCTACTTGTAGTTATGCATTAATAAAAATAAATGTATTAGAAATGCCACCAATAGAGCCTCAAATAAACAAGGCTTATACAATGTATTCAATAACCGGTTAAATTCAGTTTTACCGGGTCAGAATCATGTATAGTGCTATGTCCATGTCTTAAGTTTGGTAATGGATTACATTACTAAAAAAGTTCATATTTGGCGTTTGAACACGTGCAAATATTTTTTATGGGAATCATATTTACGCTTTACTGGTTGGCATGAAAATAGCAAATTAAAATATATACATGTTTTTGGCAAAATCCATTGGTGGGCGATAAACAGAGCTCTTACAAAGATTTTTTTTAGCAAAATCTTTAAATAAGAAGCACAAGTTATTTTTTGTAAATTGCAAATTAAAAACGTTTAAAACATTTCATGATATTTTTACCTCAATCAAATTCAATAATAATATCCGATATAAAGCAAAAGCTATTTTAGACTCTTTGGTAAATTTTGAATTTATATTGATGGCACAATTGGTTTTGAAAGTAATTAAGCACATCACGCCATTATCAAAATACATGCAAACAAGTAAAATGGATTTACTACGAGCCTATAAAATTGTCAAATGAATTAGGCAAAGTAGATAAAAATTTTAATTCCATAAATTAAGCAGCTACAAAATTCTCAGAATTTGCTAATAGTTAACAAATACAAAGAATCTTGACATTGAAGTTCAGACTAGCTTGAAAGAGTGAAGAATAATGACCAATCAACTACTTAATTGTGCAAAAGATAAATTATGTGTCAATGTTCACAACACAGTATAGGATCAAGTAATCAGTAGCTTAAAACAGAGATTTCCTGAGCATGGTAGTCATTATATTAATTTTTCAATTTTTCTAAAAAAATTATAAAATTTTTGAAAAATTGCCGAGTGACGCATTGCAGCACCTAGGTAGGTTGCTCAAACAAAAAAAAAGCTTTAAACAGAATTGTTATTTGGGAAATTGTTAAAGCATTTGTTAAAAATGATGATACTTTTCTGATTAACAAGGAAGTATCTTACTTTGTCTTCGGGAACAACAATCTAACTCTGTAGAGTTTGGAAGATTCCTTTCAATTCCAGCAGTTAAAAACAAAAACAGCTACAGAAATAAATGCAACTTATGAAAAAAATGTTTTAATGTTGATACTTTGTTCTCCAGAAGTTTAGTCTGCATAGTGTCACGCATTTAAACTTGTTGACAAATTTGTATTGCCGTTTTCGTCATCACAAGGTGCTTTCAAAAGGTCGTTCTCATAGCGGAAATGTATTTTGAAAAAAAAAAGAAGTTTTATGAGCTATTCAAAATTACATTTAATAATACTCCTAATGTTTAATGGACCTTTATTAAAGAAATAATAACAATGCAGTTGTTGATGTTGCGGCATCGACTAATTAAACGATGCAAAAGTTGCAATACTAGTCAATAGTGAATATCAATTTTGTCTACTATTTCTAGACTTCAACTTACATAATTGTTTATAAAGAAATTAATTTATATCAATATTTATGCTGGAAGATTTAAAAAATTTTTATTTATTTAAAATAACAATAAATACTACAAAATAACGTAAAACCTACACAGATCCGTCTCTAATAAACATAGGTAAAATTTAAAAGATGAGGGCGCCACTCAGGGTTGCTAATACGGGCGGCGTAAAGACTTTATACGCCCAATAAATACCTGATTTTATAACCATTACCTCATGATGCGGAGCACTCACTCTAAGGGGATCTCTAACAAAAAAATAATTAAAAGTTTTATTGATCAAAATAAAAAACAAATTAACACGCTGAGTATGAAAAAAAGCAGAATTTATTATAATTGCTTTTTGGCAAGAATTATTTTAAAATCATTCCTTAAAAGAAATCGCACGTTTAACTTATTTTTAAACAAAGTTTTAAAATTTTTGTTTTATAAAAAATGATAATTTACTTACTTAATATCAATTACTTAAGTATAAAACAAGTCTTAAAAAATTTACTTAAAAAAATAATAAAATTGTAAAATACAAATCATTATAAAAAATACTTTTACACATACTTTAACATATTATTTTACTGAAAATTTATAATTACCTTCTGCAATAATATTGTGAATATCATCTGTTAGTAAATATGGTGATGCAGAAACAACAGAATGCTGTAGACTTGAAGTTGGAAACAGTTTTGTTAAGGTATATTTTAGAGAACTTTTACTTGTACTTGTCAACAATAAAATTGGATTTGTTGTAGAAAACTCTAAAAAAAAAATTTATTTTTAAATTAAGTATTTTATTACTGTTTAGAATATTTATACATATATATATATATATATATATATATATATATATATATATATATATATATATATATATATATATATATATATATATATATATATATATATATATATATATATATATATATATACATATATATATATATATATATATACATACATATATATATATATATATATATATATATATATATATATATATATATATATATATATATATATATATATATATATATATATACTTATATATAAATATATTTGAAATGATGAAAGAATGAAACATTATATCATTAAAACATGACAAAATCATGTTGTGCTTTAAATATAATTATATATAAAGTTTTTAACTTTACTTTAAAATCAAAGTTTACTTCTGATATTAAACATTTTAATAGCCATTTTATTTTTTAATATTTAATAGCTGTTTAGTAAATTGTTTGAGGTTATTATTAGAATCGTTAAAGTATTTTTTTCAAGCGTTTTGATATATATATATATATATATATATATATATATATATATATATATATATATATATATATATATATATATATATATATATATATATATATATTAAAATTATGAAACTGTCGTTTAGATCAGTATTTTTTGGTTTGTATAGTCAAAAGTCAATGTTGTTTGTATAAATGAAATTCCATCAAGTTGAATAAAGAATGGTTTCCTCCGTTGTCTGAATCGAAATGTGAAAATTGCAGTAAAAAATTTTAATAAAGCGCAACAGTTGATTTGTATAAGTTTAAACTAAAATGTGATGAAACTGTAGGTGTTATATCTTAATATATATAATGATTATGACATATATTTATAAGAGCAGTATTAAAGGCCATTTATTCTTTATCAAATCTTATGTAAAGTATTTATTGTATTCTTTTTGTTAGGAGTTGATATAATAACATCAGGTAAAGTAAAAACTTATAAACTGGATTGCAGGCGTTAATTTAACTCCAAAGTAGGTTGTTATTTTCATTTTACCGTTGTTGTTTTTTTTATATTTTGTTCCATTATTAAAGTAAAATAAAGATTTCTTGCACAGTAGAACAGAGCAAAAATTTTAGGCTTTAGTTAAAAAAGCAAAAAATAGACTAGTTAATGCAGGTTTTTAAAGTAAACCATAAATTAATTTTTAAATATATATTTTTTGTTTTCTCATGTGCATATTATGTTCATCCAGAGAGAGGAGCCAGATGGGGATTAAAATAAAACAAAGGTTCTTTGATTTTTAGTTGTGGTGGAAGATTTGAATTAACCTTGTTTAAATAGGAATTATATATTTTTGAAATTAGCCAAGATTAATACATGTTTCTTTAAAATACTTTAAAGAAGTCGTTTATGTTAGAGTAAAACATAAGTTTAGTACTATTAACTTAAGCGCTCTATCAATTATGCATTTGAATAGACAAAATCTGTGCAAAAATGGAGTGAAACTGTAAAAATTAGTGTAAAGACAAGAACAGGCTTTTTGATAAAAAAACTGTTGTGGTAACTTAAGAATTATTTTTGTGTAGAGTTACGTCTAAAAAATATATTTTTGAATTTACTTCTTGTTCCATAGTAAAAAAAATAGAATTGTGTCTACAATTTATATTTCTATGAAAAAGATATGCGTCATTTTATGACTGGAAAGCATCACTAGTTTTGTCAACGTATCTTTTATAGAAAACTAATTTTACATTATTGAAATTTTTGATTCATTTCTTTTCAAAGTGACCCATGAACATATTGGCAAGAACAGGTGCCAGTGGAGAACCGATTGCTAGACCATCAATTTGATCATAAGTTTGTTCTTTAAAATGAAAATGTGTTTGCGAATTAGCGAATCGGAATAGTTTTTTTAATCTGTTTTAGTTATTGAAATGTTTTTGTTATGAAGGAAAACTAAATTGACTGCATTTTTAATAGTTTCTTGAGGCAGAACATTGGTGTATTGTTTTATTAGTGGATAAGCTGGTTACATCGTATGATACTAAAAATATTTGTGGAGATCGATTTGACTAATTTCTTTAACGAAGAAAAGAGAATCTTTTGTACAAAATTCATTGTTTAATAATGGAGATAATAAATCTCTAAAAAATTTGGCTACTTGGTAGTTATAGGTTCCAATAGATAATAAAATGGGTCTAACGTTTATGGCAGTCTCAGAAGATTTTGATTTATTCATCTTTTGAAGTCCTTAGGTACGAGCAGGATGGGATATAGACGGATAAATTTTGTTATATGTAGAATCATTAAAAAGACCTTTTGCTTTTAGTTTTCTTAAAAACTTTTAAGTTGTATTGTTGTAAAGTTGAAGTTCTATTTATGGCAACATTTTTCTTAAGTTGTTTGAATTTTTTTATCATTAATAGTTTTATAAATACCATTTATGAATAGTTCCTTATAAATATGACAACGCCATTACCTTTATTAGGTTTTAAAATAATAATATTCGGATTACTAGAAAAATTTTACAGTATTCAATGTTTTTTTCATAATTTCCTTAGAAGGACGATAGTTATAAATATAAGAGTTTGCAAGATGGAAGAACTCTGCTCTAAGTTTTACTGAATCTTCATTATTTTTCAACTTTTTTTGAAGGAGATTAATTTGTTCGAACAAAAAAAGTATATCAGTACGTCTAAGATATTTTAGTGGAATTGAAAACTGCAGACCATTTTTAAGGATATCCAATTCATCATCAGAGAATTTGTAAGAGGAAAGATTAGGTACGATTAGTTAACCATATACAAATGACAATTTCTGTTTAGCTGCTATTTTTTATACATAGTGAATATCTTTTAAATCTATACTTTTATTATTTCCTATTTCTTTTGTATGACATGATAATCTTTTTAAGTGATTTTATTGTATTTTTGTAATTATATAAATATTAGTTTGTACAAGAGTAATTAAATTTTAAATTTTTTTTTTTTAAGATCTTTATTGGTATTTTAACAAATTTTAATTATTTAACTTTAACTGAAGATGACTAGTATTAGTCAAACATGTATTGTTTTTAAAAAAAAATGGTTTTGAAAATTAAAAAATTTGTCTTGTTTATGAAAATTGATATATGGACTATTCCGGACCCGAATGGACGATTCCGCTTCCCTTTGAAGAAACAATTTGGACTTTTAAAGACCGTATGTAAATATATATACATATATATATATATATATATATATATATATATATATATATATATATATATATATATATATATATATATATATATATATATATATATATATATATATATACTTTTAAAGACCTTATATATATATATATATATATATATATATATATATATATATATATATATATATATATATATATATATATATATATATATATATATATATATATATATATATATATATATATATATATATATATATATATATATATATATATATATATATATATATATATATATATATATATATATATATATATATATATATATATATATATACATGATCGTTATTAAGAAATAAAAGAACGCGGGAACTCGTAGAAGACCTTGTCGTCGTCGAGAACCGCTAAAAAATTTTCGTGTTAATATTTCGTATTAATAAAATATTCTCAAAATAAATAAACTAATAATAGGAATATATACTTAACATACTTGAAGATAACAAATAATTAAGAATTAAGAATTGAAAACATAAACAAATTTAAAGTAAAAAAAAAAAAAGTAAAACGGTTCCGTTATAAATACATAGATGCGTTATACAGTTTTAAGATCTCTTTAGCATAATTGTTAAACTTTTTGTTAAAGGTTTTGTTATACAGTTTTAAGATACCTTTAACAAAAGTGTTAAACAACTATTTACAAATTGTTAAATTATAAAATTTATTAATGCAGTGTTAAATATAAAGTTAAAAAAAGAAACAAAAAATTAAAAGAATATAGATATATCATCTAATAAAAAAATGACTTTTTTAAGTTTTTGTTTGAAAGAGTGATAGCTAACTTCTTGAGAAAAGTCAAAATTCTTAAAAACTATTTTATTCCAAAGTAATGCTCCTCGAAATGAAATACAATATTTTCCAGAATTAGTTTGATAAGCTGATTGACGAATATTATTATCATTTCGTAAAATTTACTTAGTTTTTTCTTTTTTGTTATACAAATTATGAAAAGGTACAGGAGAAATATTGTTTTTACATTTAAACATAAAACATATAACGTTAAAAATATTAAGCTCATATATATTTAAGACTTTCATTTCAATTAATAGAGGCTTGGCATGAGTAAATCGATCCTTAAAATTAATAAGGCGTGCAACATGTTTCTGTTGACGATAAAGAGGTTCCAGTTTACTTTTATTAGTACTACCCCACGCAATGTTCGCATAGTTAATGTGACAATGAATGAGCGAATAATATACTTTAAGTAATGTATGTTTATTTAAAAAACACCTTGCTTTGTACAAAATTCCTATGCTTTTTGATATTTTACTACTCAAATTTTTTATGTGACTTTTCCATGACAAATTTTCATCAATATTAATACCAAGAAAGTTTGTAACTGTTACTTTTTTTAGAGGTATATTATCAATAAAAAGCAGTGGCATTTCATTTGGTATAAGATTTTTTTTGTGATTTGGATGGAAAAAAATCCATTTCGTTTTATCAATATAAAGAGACAGTTTATTTGTCTTTAACCAATCAGAAAATCCTACTAGTTCATTATTGATATTCTGAAATAACAATTTAATATCATTATGAGATAAAAATAAGTTCGTGTCATTTGCAAACATAATCGTCATTAAATTTGAGGCTTTATGGAGATCGTTGATGTAAATAAGAAAAAGAAGAGGCCCTAATATTGATCCCTGAGGAACTCCACAGGTTATATCAAGCAAGTTTACTGGTGAAACTACATCAACGTATACAAATTGCTTTCGATTATTTAAACAGCTTTTTAACCAATTTAAAACACTTCCGTTTATACCGTAAATCTTTAGTTTATTTAAAAGAATATTGTGGTCTATTGTATCAAAAGATTTAGCTAAGTCAATAAAAACCCCAACTGTATATTGGGAGTTTTCAAAAGAGTTAGTAATACTTCTTGTAAACTGGAGAACTGCGTGTTCTGACGAGTTGTTTTTTTTTGAATCCATATTGATTGCTATATATTAAATTGTGTACAGATAAATGATTATAAATTCTGTTGTATAAATATATATATATATATATATATATATATATATATATATATATATATATATATATATATATATATATATATATATATATATATATATATATATATATATATATATATATATATATATATATATATATATATATATATATATATATATATATATATATATATATATATATATATATATATATATATATATATATATATATATATATATATATATATATATATATATATATATATATATATATATATATATATATATATATATATATATATATATATATATATATATATAGATATATATATATCTATATATATATATATATATATATATATATATATATTATATATATATATATATATATATATATATATATATATATATATATATATATATATATATATATATATATATATATATATATATATATATATATATATATATATATATATATGTATATATATATATATATATATATATATATATATATATATATATATATATATATATATATATATATATATATATATATATATATAGATATATAGATATATTTATATATATAGATATAGATATATTTATATATATAGATATATATATATATATATATATATATATATATATATATATATATATATATATATATATATATATATATTTATATTATAGATCTTAACATACACACAAACAAACACACACAAACACGCAATCATACAATTATAAATATATTACAAGAGAGTAAATTGGCAATAAAGTAATTTTTATAACGTTTTTTGTTTTAAATAACATTTTATTGTATGCAATTGTTTTTTATTTGTTTATTACCTATAATGCAAAATTATCAGTAATATATATTTATAAGTTAAACTAGATCTGCTAAATTGCATTATATTAGGAGTAGTTCAAACAAAAAAAATTACGTTTATTTAATTGGTGTGGATTGATGCTTGGACATTAGTCTTGGAAAATTAAACTAATGTAAAAAATTTATATTTAGATATATCAAAACCTTTCAGCATACTTCACAATTATCTTATACTTGTAAAATTAAAACCTTATAGAATAGATGATAAACTCTACAATTGAATTTAATGTCACCTAAGAGATTGGCAGCAAAGTATCGGTGTTGGCGGTACATACTCAAAATTGTTATCAGTATATAGTAGGGTCCCCCAGTGTTTACTTTTATGATATAATAATGACTTTTCTGATTTGGTTTTAAATGTTTTATCTGTATTTGCAGCTGATACTAAGTTATGCAATTTGCTTTTTGATAGCTAACCATGAAATAACCCCAAAAAAAATATGGACATTATAGCCAACTGGTAAAAACTATGAAAACTAAGTTTTAACTTAAAAAAATGGAGAGTTAGGTTCATAAGACCAACAAACACAAAATTTATTTATACACTCTTTGATGGAAATCTTACCTTGAAAACTCTCTCGTCAATAAAGGCTTTCATATATCTGTTGACAGTAATTTGACTTTTCCCTTATTTTTTAAGTACAAAGAATAACACTGCCGATAAAATTGTCGGAATAATCAAAAACCATTTATCAATCTCAATTTCTTGACATATCGTACTTTGTTTATTTTTCTTGTTCGTCCTCACCTTGATTCTTGAAGCTCTGTCTGCTATCCTAGGCTTTATAAAGATCAACAATTAATTGAAAATGTTCTACACAATTTAAGTAAATCTGTTTTTTGCCTGATTTTACTTACTTACAACAGAAGACTATTGAGACCAAATTTAACTAGCATGAGTATTCGTTTTTTTACGTAATGACATCGCAGAAACTAACAAATGCATTCACAATCTTATTATATTAAGTTACAACTTTTTTGTTTCCTTATAAATGCCATTCAGTATTTTATCCATCAACACCTGCAGTAACATGCAAACAAATGTTTTTAGGAGAAAATAGTAGCGGTAGAAGTAAAAAAACTTTATTTGAATAATAGAGGTAGAAGTAAAAAAAATTTTATTAGACTTTATTAGATCCATCAACACCTGCAGTAACATGCAAACAGATGTTCAAGCAGCCGTGGCGCAGTTGTAGCTCAGAAACGTAAGATCCGTGGTTCAAACCCCACCTCTGGGCAAGTTTTGCGACATCGGTTGGAAAGGAGGCGTAAACTTTCTATTAAATGCTTTTGCGCGGTGTTCTGTGATAAGACCTTAAGGACTTTTTGGGGTATCTTAATCAACTTAAAAAAAAAAATGTCCACAAAAACTTTTTTAGTATGCAATTCACAAGTATGTAGAATAGCCTAACATCTGAAATAGTATGTTTAACATCTGTCGCAACGTTTTAAAAACATCTAGATGCATATTGCGAACATCAAATGTACAATTGCATATAAACAATTAGACCGACACAAGTAGTTACAATTGAACAAAAGATTGATAGGCCTAATTTAACTAATTATTCTATTTGTAAATATATAACCTTAGATAATAATAATAACAGTAATTAAAAAAGAATAAAAATTATAGAAACATTATTAATAATAACAATAACAATAACAACATGTTATATCAATACTCTTAATATAGATATTTGTCTGAAGATACTCTAAAATCCTCTAACGTCGAGTTTGTTGACATGTCATGTTTTAATGAAACCAACCCTTATACTTACATAACAAATGCTGTTTATCATTGTTGTAAATCTTAAATAATAAAGTTATACAATTCACTGTTTATTGCAGTATGCCAGTTAACGAACTCTTTTTTTATTTTAGAGTAAATTTTTTTTTATTGTAGAAAAAATATTAGTATGAAACTAAATTTTAAATGAATTAATCGTGAATTAATTATATGTTTATATCTTTAGTGTTGTATATTAAAAACACTTCATTTTAGTGTTTCATAGCTAAAAAAAATATTCATTATATGCATGGCTAACTGATTCAATTAAGCATGAATTCCTAATTTAGTGCTCATTTGAATCTTTTAATCTCAAGGTAAAGATTTACATGCAGCCTCAAGTTGTTACGGCTCTTAAACCGTAGTAATAGTAACTCATAACTTAATAATGGTTGCTTGCAGTCTTGTTCAAAGTAAATTAGAGTTTAAAAATATATAAATATATGCCAATATTTAATAAATATTAAATGTAAGCATAAAATTAGAAAACATAAAATTTTTTAAGTTTTTTTAACCCCTGCTAAATCTTAAAGAGCAGCCGGGGCCAGGACCGGGTTTAAATAAAGTCTCATTTTAAGCTGGGGCTAAACAGTTTTCTAGCAACGGGCATTCAGAGAGATAACGGAAGAAAAAATAGAACCATAACTGAGCAACGTTCAATATTGAGAAGTATCGGCAAAATAGTGAAAGTCAATGCCCCCTATCTGGTAGTGAGGGTATACCCCTTTTTTGCATTTTTATCTATTTCATGTAACTTTAAATAAATTTTATGATTAACAATTTTTTTTTGTTAAAAAAAATTTTTAATTAAAAAATTGTTGACTATAACCTGTAAAAGTTAAAATGCAGCCTGATAATATAGAATTATCTAAACAAGGAAACTGTTAAAACATTTAACTATTAAAAATTTGTAGAAGACAAGTTTTTTATTATTTGTTAATAATAAAAATTTAATCAAAAACACTCAATACATTGGCTTGATATATTTTTATATCGATATAAAATATTGTAAACTATATAACGCCATTATTGGGCAGTTTTTATTCATATTATTGGCGCGATATTATTTACAATATTGGCGCAATATTTTAAACATTATCACGCCAATATTGCAATGTGAAAATTTTGCCAAAAATGGTCAATATTGAATGTCAATCCAATTAAATTTTAAACTTGAAGTATAATAATTAAGAACCATCAGAGTATTTTATTTATAAGAAAAGTTTTAAGTTTTCAACCATTTTAATGGTTCTAAAATTTGCATCATAATTACATATATATCTAAAGTTTCTATTAAAAAGTTGAGCGTCAGTGCATTTACATTTATTGATTATATCTTTATATATTTACTAGATAATACCTTCCATAATAATGCTGCTAAAAAAATATTTTGGTGAATATAGCGGTGTAAAAACAACAGAACTTATTAGACTTGGAGATGGAAGCAGTATATTTGATATAAACCCCATTGAAGTCATTGCCGTTATTGTAGACAACAAAAATGGTGTTGTAGAAAGTTCTATAAAAAAGAGTATACATTTACATTTAAATATGTTATTACAGCTATATAGAGAATAGATATACATTAAATTATTGTTGTTACATGTATAATAGAAAAGTATAACAAGTAATTTTTTTAGAACATATATTTGTTTAAATGACATTTACATGACATAATTTTAAAGTTAAAATATACCTAAAAAAACAGAACACATAAATAACCATAAATTTTATTAAAAAAAGAGTTTAACTTACTTTAAAAAATATATAAATATGCAGAGACACATCAATGTTTAAAATGAAAAAATATAAAATATTAGGAGATATAAAATAAAGAAAAAAATTAATGCTTTTGGGTAATCATTTTTTATGTAGAGTAATTTTAAATTATAGATAATATATCACCAAAAAAAAACTGTGTGATTATAAGTCAAGTAGTAATATTGTAATATCACATTTTCTGAGTTATTAATCGTCAAAAAATCTAATTTTAATACAAGTATAGTCTTGGTAATAGAAACTGGTTGGCTCACTCTAAATTCCTAAGACCTATGGAAAAATGAGAATACAATTCTCAAAATCAAACTCAAAGAAGTTAAGTAAAGCGCGGTGTTCTGTGATAAGACCGTAAGGACTTCTTGGGGTACCTTAATCGACTTAAAAAAAAAAAAACTTTTGGTCGAAAACTACTCGATACCTTTCTGCCTCTTGCACACTTGCTACCGAGGAGGATTCTCTATCTACACAAAATACACTCAGTGCTTTCAAATACAAAAAAGACAAAACTCTTAATGGAACTGGTTGCCAACAGATATGGGTTCAAATAAATATTGGCTCAGAACACGTTCTGGTAGGATGTGTCTATTGACCGCCTAGCTCCAAACCTGCAAAAAACAAAATCATCAACCGTTCGATCCGTCAACCTTCTATTCTAAATGAGCAAAAGAAAATTTATAAATATTTTATTATTGGAGATTTTAACTACCCCGGAACCAAATGGAATGGCTGAGATGGATTCTGTAAAAAATCTAATCCACAGGCAAACGCGTTCCTCAAAACAATTAACAATACAACGCGTTCCTCGAAACAATTAACATAATGAACAAAGACTGCTCACTCAGTTTGTCCTACAACCAACATTTCTTAAAGGTTTATTTTGACCTTGTGTTATCAAACGATCCGTCATACATTTACCATGTAAAAGTTGATTCCCCTCTTGAAATTACACAAAAATTATCTACATACTATGCTCTGTTGGGATTTTATAATTAAGGATAACCGTTCAGATAGCTTCGTCAAAAATTGCAAAGATCTTGACTTCAAAGACACTGACCTTAAAAGCATGATTAACTACTTCAAATCGATTATTTGGGTCCAGGATTTTGCTAACCTGACGGTTGGACAGTTTATGCCCATGTATCGAAATTTTATCTCACCTTTATTTCTTCATTCACTTTAATTCTCCGCAAAATACTCTCAATTATAAGAGACCCGAAATGGCTCAATGATGAGTTTAAGCAAGCGTCAAAAGAAAAATTTGCTATTTTTGACAAACTTCTTGCAGCACCCCAAGACCGAAAACACCTAGTAAAACTAGAGTTTAAAAAAGCCTCTCAAAATAAGTACTTGTTAAGATAATTCTAGACTTTTTTTAGGACTTAGTTAACAATGTCAATAACTGCAAAAATCATATCTGAGCTCTGAAGAATGGAAACGGAACGCTAATATCCGACGGAACTGAGATGCAACTTATTAAACTAACATTTCTTCTCTGCATATAGCAATGATCTATTCAGTGATGATCCTATTTTCCAGTCACGTTCCGATACGACTCACACTGTAAATCACAGGAAAATTTTTCCCAAGCCGGAGTCAAGTTGCGTTTCTCCAAACTAGAAAAACACAAACCACATGGTATTGATAAATTTCATATTTTGAAAAGATCGTTTAGCGTTAGCACTACTTTTCTATCTGGTCTTCACAAAGTCTTTTAATACTGGAGATATTTCCGCTAGGAGAAATAAGCCAAATGTCTTACGCATTTTTTTAAAAAGTTGCAAGACAAAGCCAGCTAACTACCACCCAATCTCACTTACCTCTGTTCTATGCAACGTGATAGAGCGTTTAATTCATGACTCCATGCTCAAGCATTTCACAGACCATAACCTGGTTGAAAGTAATTATCACTATTTTGCTCCTCGCAGATTGCGCATGCCAAATATAATTGAGCCAAATATAAATTTCGACATTATATCTAACACGCTGAATCTCGTCTTGATATTGTAATGATTTTTTTAATTTTGCTAAAACCTTTGATAAAAATAGTCACCGCCTTTACCTGTCAAATTGTACGCACGTATAGCTTTAGCAGAATTACATGTAGCTGGATAGCATTGTTTCTAAACAGCTGCAGTCAAAGAGTTGTACAAGATGACTATATTTCTGATTGGTTTTATGTCATCAGTGGAGAGCTGTTCTGTAAAAGGACTTCTTCCCTTCGTTATCTTTATCATAGATATGCAAAACCCTATACATCATTATCAACAACAATACATAACTAATAACAATTATCAAAGAGATCTTTGACTACTAAGCTCTCCAAGAGGACATTAATTACCTAGTTATATGGGCCCACACATGGAGCATGTGTTGTAACGAGGACAGGTGTAAAGCCATTTCCTTTGAGAAAAGACGTAATGACCGCCTCAACAATGCATTTATTGACAAATAGCCTGGTCCGCGCAATTAGCATGGCTCGTTTACCATACCTGAACACATCAGTAACTGCCACAGATTTAGTGATACCGCCTCCGAGCGTTACCTTCGTATCATTGTCAACAACCGACGAAAGTAGCAATACCAATTTGTACACATTGTAATCAAAGCCAACACGCACTAGGCATCTTAAAAAAAACATTCCACTTTTTGGACATTAACAGTTTTTGTGTACTTTATACAACTTATGTACAACCACATCTCAAATTTTGCTCTGCCTATATTGTGTATACGCTATTGTGTCTGTTGCGTAAGTTAACGCTTTTAAAAGTCAACTTGACTTATTTTTTAAAATTTTCAATTAAAAACAAAACGAATTGACATTTATTACAACAGGGTTTTTTATTTGCCCTGTTAGCAAATGGTTAAGCATTGGCTAAAAATTATGTATACTTTTATATTAGTTGTATACTCAGAATCGCTTTAATTTATACTTGCGTTTTAAGGAGGCTTACCATCAATACCTAGTTTATCCTGTCAGATAAACATTATTGCCGTTTATGGCTTACCTCGCAATTGACGCCTTTATACTGCAATAAAAAATAACTTCAATACACACAGGCAAAACTCTAACTACAACAAAATTTTTAAGGAGTTAATATTTTAATGAAATATTATGGAAGTAACAACATTCAATAACAAATATCACAACATTAAATATCAAATAACATGACAAAACAAAAAATAATTAAATCAAAACATTGAATGTTGGTACACAAAAGAAAAAAATTAAAATATAAAACTATTAGACAAAAGTAAAAAATCAAAATTTAAAACTATTAGACAAAAAAAAAAATTTTAATTTAAAACTATGACACAAAATATTAAAACTATTACATAAAATATTAAAACACACATATTACTTGGTAAAAATAAATAAATAGAAAACAATAAACACTATAAAGATAAATCGTAAAAAAGTAATTTAATTTTTGATGTGAAAAATTCTTTTGGCAGATCCCTCAGCACTTGAAAAATTTGTAAATTTTAAACATTGGAGATTTTTAATTTTAAAACATATGAAACTCTACATAATGTCTTAATACTGTAATTTCCTACTAATAAGAAGATACTCCTAAGCGTCGTAGGGGTGTTTATCATGTTTATAGTATTCAAGTTGCTTCTTTACTATCTTGTTTATAGTGTTGAAGCAGCTTGTTTACAAACTTTCTTTAATAAATAGTTGATAATTTAAATAATTTAAACGTATAATAAGATTTGCTTACTTAATTACTCTTTTTTTTTTTCATTTAGTTAATAATATTTAAATTTTAATTTATTAATTTAATGTGGTCTATATCGAAGTTATGACTTCATTTATATTTAAACTGTGCCACTTTGTATCTCAATTTGTTACAGTTATGGACTTTAATTATTTTTAATTAGATTTCGCCAAACAAAAATTGACATAACCTATATTTAATTTAGTAAATAGCCTCGTTTTGCACCAAATCGTTTGTTTTTTCTTTTAGTTATTATTATTTATATTTTAATTTATTAATTTAATGTGGTCTATATCGAAGTTATGTCTTCATTTATATTTAAACTGTGCCACTTTGTAGCTCAATTTGTTACAAATATGGACTTTAATTATCATTAATTAGATTTCGCCAAACAAAAATTGCCATAACCTTTTTTTTAATTTAGTAAATAGCCTCTTTTTGCACCAAATCGAACAGGAATCTAAAAGACTTTTTTCTGTTGAAATTTCCTTCAGCATCAGTGACCGTAACACATTCTACTTCTCCATTATTCTAAATAATTTAATTCAGAAAAAAAAATTTAAATCCTTGTATGACTTTGTTGATGCTGACATTGATGGTTTTTAGTCTTATTTATTAAGTATAAATCGGGACCCTGAGTTTCTTTTTTTTTCACAGTTGAAGATTATTGAAACATTTTCTCCAATTGTTTTTACAATGTTTAAAATAAATTTGCTGCAGTTAAAAAAAGTTATTTTTTACAAAAAAAGTAATCATTTCCCGAGATTTATCAGGAAAATGTTAAATTTTAAAGCACTGTTTGGGAAAAGATGCTAAAAATGTTGCACACAGAGAAGCACAAAATGAAAACGTTAGTAAATGTAAAGAATCATTACATTCTTACCACATGAAAGCTTAAACTAGTTTTAGAAATCATTATTATGTTAATAACAAACTAAATAACTCTAAAAGTAATTTTTATCTAAAAGAAAATACGCATTATTAATGAAGTTCTAAAGGTTAGTTATGCCCACATCGTTTCTTTTGCATTTTATTGATTTAACTACTTCAATTAATAATCTAAACTGATGTTTTAAAATGTTTATGCAGATAATATAAAGTTATATAGTTCGTACCAAGACATGGATCGGATCCAAGATTTAGATGCAAAGTTGCTCTAAAATGGCTTGTACTCTGGGCAGAATGCGGCAACTATTAATTGCTTGTAGTAGTTGTTTTTCTCTTAGAAGAACCTCCTTTATTGTTTAAAATTATAAAGGATAACTATAGAGAGTGTACTTTGGCTCGGTCCTCAAACCCAAAAGATGTATGAGTTACAGTAGACTGTAAACTTAGCAATAAAAAGCATATTTAAAAGTCATCCATTAAGCTAATTCTATAGCATACTTTATATTAAAATGTATGCTCTAGAAGAAGAGCATACTTTTTAATATTATTCAAGCTGTTTTCATTCAAGTATTCACTACGTACATAGGACTAATTATAGAAAACTGTTCTCCAGTTTTGCGTCCACATTATATTAGATTGATTAAATTAATTGAAAGTGTCTTAAAATGATTTACAAATAAAATAAGAAATCTTGTGTTATCATAATCGATTACAGTTGCTTGATTTGGAAATATATGAAGTTCGACGCATTAAAAGTGACTTAGTACCTTGTTTTAAATTTTTTTACAAACTGGTTTGTGCAGAGTTTATGTTCTTTGTAATTGACAACAATAGCTGAACCTAGGGTCATGTTTATAAAATACCCAAACATTTTTTTGCTTAGTTGCTGACATTTTATGACTCAACAGTGCTGTAGCTAATGTTGTCGTTACTCATTCGTGCGTGTTTCACACGGAACTTAAGGCAGCCATTAAAGACAAGTTAATAATGAGAAATAATCGCAATATTTATTTTTATTAAATAACGTCAATAATAAAGTATTAAAATATATTTTTTATGTAAACTTCAAAATTTATAATGAAAAAAATTAAAATCATGTTTCACAGTTTATTTTTATTAAAAAATTGTATTGCGGCAACATATGTCTAATTTTGATTTATAACATATATTTGCTTAGTAGCGAATATTTTTACTTTTATAAAGCACTGCGTCAAAATGTCTATAATTTTGATTAAGAGCTTTTCATTACCAATTTATAAACGTATTTCGGCTTTTGTATATTAAATAGTGTTAAAAATTGGTACATTGGTGTGCCTTAGTAGCTAAAGTGATTAGCTTGCTGCTTTTCGAAGTACAACGTGAGAGTTCAAATCCTGCATTTTTTTTTTAAAACCTTTTCCAATTTTCTAAAATATAAAATTTTCTTCCAACATCAGTAATATTTGACTCCTATCTAACAACTATTAATAAATATTGAAAGAATCAAAACTAGATATAATTGAGTCGCAATCTGCCTTTTCCACAGAGTTCAATATTAGGACCTTCACTTATCTTACTACACAATAATCATTTATCTTTAAGTCTGTACCAAAAGTGAACAATATAAGATTTTAACAGAAAAGTTAGTATATCATCACTAGTCTTTTTCTTATTATTCATAGACCTTATAAATTTTTTAATATCATCAGGTGTAATTTGATGAAACTGGAAACTTTTTGCACACGTACTAAATATTTTCTTTATGTTTGTTATACTGGGATAATCGATATACTTTTGATTGCTGCATCAAGTGGGTCTATAATTTTATGTTTGTAATACCACACATCTTCTTTGCATTAATTTTTTATTATCATTTTTAATAGCTGTTAATCAAATAAATACTTTTATTATAACTTTATCAAACGTATAATTTTCAATCTTTAAGTAAGTAAATATTTACATTTTAGTATCTATTTTTGCACTGAAAGAACTTCTTTATTTTTTATATTTAATATTAAAGTGAACACGTATAAAAGTTAATTATTAAAACAAAAGCTCTTTAATTATGTAGTAATAATTTTTTGTGACAAGTATACATATAATTACAATGAACAAGAGAGAAATATAAGGGGTTGCATAAAACCGTAATATTATAGCATGGACATTTAGAAATTACTTTTTGTTGGGTAATGTTACGACATGGACATTTGGAAATCACTTTTAGTTTACGTAATATTACGGCATTGACAGTTAACGGGTTAATATAAATTTTTCAAAACTAGTTGTTGTTTTTGAACACAATCAAACAATATTGAAAATACGGTTTACAGACTTTATTCACGTAAAACGTTTTATAAATTCATAAAGAGCTCAAAAATTTTATTATTTTAAAAAATAAGTGATATTGGACAAAATTTATAATAAAAACAACAACAAAGTTGTCAAAAAACATTAAAATTTATTGTTTTGCAAAAATTGTCAGGAATTTCAAAAGTCGAAAATCTTTATTTTAAACACAATAGTATTTTCTAAAAATTGCTTATACACATTATTTTTCTAAATATGGTTTAAAAGTGCATTATAGATGATCTTAACAACTTCAAAAAAAAAAGTAAAAAATTTTGATTTGAATGCTTTTTGGTCTTTTAAAGTTTCAATCGCGTTTTTTCTCTTCAAGAGCTCTTCAACAAATATTTATTCATTATAAATATACACGAAAATAATTAAAATATACATGTGATTGTTTTCGCGGTAACGCGTAATTATATTATTTTTCGGCAAGCTGCCCACCTTTGTATGGGTCTACGTGTTCTTAGGAGCATGCATTTAATGTGCTAATAAATATCAATCAAATACTCTTTCAATTTTTAAATCAGTAAATATAAATAAATTTTCATCTGTTCTTTTTAAATTGATTATTTTTTAAAAACTCGTTGTTTTAGTTTTGTAGTTTTTGTATAATAAACATTGTGAATCAGCAAAAAATTGAATGGAAACCTAATTCTGCCAAAGTAAGTGAGTCTGTGTGTATTCATTCAAAAATATACCTTTACATAAAATATCGCTTGACATCATAACACTTTGTCCACTGCAACTTAACCATTGATTGCTATTGCAACTTCGTGTTCTAGTTTTGATACAATATTGATTAGATGTTGACCATTCACTCCATTCTGACCAACTTACTATTGATAAAAAGAATAGATACTAGGATTTATAAAAAACTAGGAAAAAAGTTTGGTTTTAACAACTTTTCCTGTCTTTAAACACTTGACGAAACTTAAATACTTTACTCATAGTGAACATTCTTATTATGAATAAAAAATATTTTTATCAGAATAACTATTTAACAATACTTAAGCAGGTTTGGAAGATTAAAAATAACTTTTTTTTTTGTTTAAATTAATGAGCAAAATAATAAAAAAATGCTGATATAATTTAAGTTAAAATAACTTGTGCTAAAATCAAAATATTGATCAAAAAAAATAAAAACAATAAGTGTTCTGCCTAGCCTAATTTAAATTTAAAAAAATTACACTGAAAATAGCGGAAATAGAGCAGCCAAAGCGCAGTAGCTTGTTTAAAACATTAATAAAGAAGGTTCAATAACAAAGATTGCAAAAACGTTTTAAACCTCCGCTTTAAATGCTTTTTTCTTGCGCTCAATCATAAGGTCGAACCATTTGTTTTATACTTTTTAAAATATTTTATTAAACACAATAAAAATAAATAGTATATATGAAAGTTTTTTTGTCATTAAATCCTTTTTTAAAGTTAAATACATTTGTAAGTTGTTTATTATTAAAAAAATTCTTAAAGTCTTCTATGAGGACGCGGATTTTTATTTTGTTTTCAGTTGTTTGTTAGTCTGATTGACAAGTAATAACTATAAATATCCATGTTTATCTCCTTATATATATATATATATATATATATATATAGTATATATATATATATATATATATATATATATATATATATATATATATATATATATATATATATAGATGTATGTATATATATATATATATATATATATATATATATATATATATATATATATATATATATATATATATATATATATATATATATATATATATATATATATATATATATATAAATATATATATATATATATATATATATGTATATATATATATATATATATATATATATATATATATATATATATATATATATATATATAAATATATATGTATGTATATATATATATATATGTATATATATATATATATATATATATATATATATATATATATATATATATATATATATATATATATATATTTATATATATACATATATATATATATATATATATATATATATATATATATATATATATATATATATATATATATATATATGTATATATATATATATATATATATATATATATATATATATATATATATATAAATATATATATATATATATATATATATATATATATATAAATATATATGTATGTATATATATATATATATATATATATATATATATATATATATATATATATATATATATATATATATATATATATATATATATATATATATGTATGCATATATATATATATATATATATATATATATATATATATATATATATATATATATATACATATATATATATATATATATATATATATTTATATATATATATATATATATATATATATATAATATATATATATATATATATATATATATATATATATATATATATTTATATATATACATATATATATATATATATATATATATATATATATATATATATATATATATATATATATATATATATATATATATATATATATATATATATATATTTAATTATTTTATCCAAAAAACAAATGCTTTTTTAATATATAAAGTAATATTTAAAATAAAGTTTTATTAAGATTTATAGAGAAAACACTAAAGTCAAGTTCGAACAAATATATTTGTATAAAAAATTCATATTTCACGGAAATGCTTCAACTTGCTCAACGGATACGGCGGAGGCTAAATTGTTTTTCATAAGCAATACAAATTATATCTCTGCTATTTAATAGTATAATATTAATAATAATGATAATAATAAAAATAATAGCAATAATAATAACAATAATATCAATAAAAGTAATAATAATAATAATAATAATAATAATAATAATAATATATGAATGCTGAAACATAGATAATGCATCCTTGAAGAACCTATTACTAGGTTGTTGCAGCCGTTACTATAAACATATCCAGACAATCAAGGCCGTTATTGAGGTGGACAACCACAAAACACCAAACAAGCGTTTAGTTGTGAACGTCGCAGGCTACAACAGCATTGTGAATGTAAATGTCAGTTATCATATTCGGACGATAAAATAGCCTTAAATGAGTTTAATGATACTACATGAGTATTATCAGTTTTTATGGTACTCCGCAGTTTTTAAGCTCTGTTTGTAAAGAAATTAAATTTTGTTGGACAGCTTGTTATTAGTTCAATACTAAATTTATGTCCGTGCCAACGATTATCAATCTCAGGTTTTTCAATAAGTTTGAATATAAAATTTGACCATTGAATTTTCTCATACCAATGAACAATTTTATACATTTGGAATTAGTCTCAACGCTGTCGTCATAAATCCAAACTGGCTATATTCAGATGTTTAAGGCGCTCTTGATACGCTAAATCTTTTAATTCTGAAGGGGTATTTGTTACTTTGCGTTGAAGGTTTTGCAAGGTTATCGTATAATGATCAATTAGAAATATCGCTGTTTGGTTTTTAATAAAAGAAGCACTTTTGTCAGTCGGTTTGATAATGTTTTTATTAGTGTTTTGTAGTCAGAGTTTAAGAAATATATTGGCCGCCATTAATAAATTTTTAATTCCTTTATTTTTAAAAAGAAATGTGATACAATTTCTGGTTTTTGACTAATAGGCATTTTCTTTTTATCAATAAAATTTAGAACTGTATCTAAACTTTTACTTAAAATATAAATACTCAATTTTAAAAAATCGGCAATTTAACCATCATTTCTCGGTGATTTAATAGTTTTCATTTTTTTAATGGCATTTTTGACTTATTTTGACAAATAAAGTAATAGATTGACCAGCTACTCTTGTTCAGTGACTTTTCAACTACTTCATCAAATTTGTAAACTATGGTATTTTGATCAATGACTTTATTTTTAGTGTCGTTATATATTTTTTTAATATTATTTGTTTAAGCTTTTGTTTTATTTTGGATATTGGTAAAAGAAGAATTTATTAGATTTTTACCTTGCTATTTTGCTTTAGGTGTTACTACGGCGCCGTTTTTTATTTTGTTTTGAAAAATTTTAAAATTTTTCTTAAACAACATAGCCGAGGTTTTTCATATGGGGTTGCAGTAAACTTTAAAAAACAAGTTTTTCAGCTAAATTTTTGAATCTGTATTCCTCGACTTGAAATTTTCCATTATTGGATTTGCTAAATTTTTAAGAGAAAATTTTAAAATTGCGTTTTTAGTTAAACCCAGTTGGCAGTTTTGTTTTTGGTACCTGTTTTAATAATTTTTGAGAGGATGTTAATGTTTTTTCTTTTTAGTATATTTTAGATATTTATTATTTAGATATTTTCTCCAACTTCTATTTGAGTTAGAATTTAAACCACATATTGAATTATAGAGGTCTGAAAAGATCATTTGTTCATGTTCCATGGATACATTTTTGCTAGTTTTTGCTCATGTAAACTCTGTCAAAAAAGAAAAAAGTTGTATGTAATTTATTTGTGTATTCTTGGGCGCATAAATTAAAAGTGCGTAAAGTGCCTTCGATATTTTGAATTTTCAGTAAGACTTGGAGGTTCACACCTCTTTTCTTAAAAATAATGCAAAATGCTAAGAGTTTGTTTCAAACCCGTTTCAAATCTTTTGTGCAAATCTATAAAATATTGACAAATATAAATCGTTATTATAAACGCTTGTTCAACGTTTAATAGAAGTATATTATATTACAATATAGTAATATAGCCTTTGGTTAGAATACTAACATAACAGCTTGAGTCACACGGTTTAAATAGGCATAATTGAAGCGAAATTTAAAATAATTAAAAAAATTAATTTTCATAGGCTAAGTAATTAAATTAGGCTTAAATGCGTTTTCAAAATCCACTTCCTTACAACAACTGAAAGAAATACAACAGATTAATAAATAATGAGCGTGTTTCGGGTGCGCCATTTTAACTCATGGAAGTTAAAAAATTTTCTTGCAACAATTTACCTTCCTTAATGCTAACAAACCAATGAACTCCGATGTTTGAGAAATTATTGATGGCCACATTGACACAGTTAAAAAATATGAGCTGCTGATCTCTCGTTATGAAAGTTCTGCAGCAAGAACTTTTTTCGTATGTTTTATAAACAGTTTAAATTCAATTTGTAAATGCTAGTATGATTGTGTAACAGTAGGTATTCGTATTTGCTATAATCAAGAGGTTTAACAACTAAATAATTATTTTTTTATGTTAAATGTTTTTTAATTTAATTTAGTTACATTTGCTAAAGATAATTGCTAGAACGGAGCTGGCAAAAACCACTGTATTTGCTATGTCGCGACGTTACAAATTTTTATATGTCAAAAATGAATATGGATGGTACAGATTTCAAAAATGAATATGGATGGTACAAATTTTGGAAAACTTATATTTAGAAAATTCTCTGAAAGTAAAGTTGGTCTATGTAATTACAATTTTTATTTATGAACAATTCAAATGCTATTGATTTGTGCTTTTGATTTCAAATGCTTTGATTTATGTACATTTCAAATGCTAACTATTTTACCTAGTTTATTGTGGTTACAAACCAGGTTGCAAAATCAGACAATCAGGATACAAATGTAGAAGATGATGTTGCACAAACAGGTTAAAGATGAACAAGGGGTAGACGATATTCTAGGAAATTTTTTGATAATGCATAAACCAGAGAAAACAGTGATCCAAAATATATATTTATGAGTTTATTAATTTTGTTAGTAATCTTTAAATTAATCTTGATGTTAACTTTTATTTTCTGATAATGAGATTAAATTTAAAATATATTTGATAGAAATTGTTACTATAAAATTTCCACTGCAAAAAGCTTGATCGTTTAATTTTTTTTAATTATGGAAACATAAACAAGTATAGTGCCCGAACA